TGGCATTAGTTCTTTGAAGTAGAAAACACACAGTGTGTTGAGGCTGTCATTGGCTTCCTTCTCTCTCTCCTGATATTTATTAGCTTTCAGGCCTCAGCCTTTCATTGACACTATTAGTTATTTACATATTAATTTATTTATTATTTTTTGAGATTTGCTGTTACTGTGTTTGGCATATTGAATACGTCACAGGTAGCTTGCCAGGCTTTGCTGTGCGGATGAGATACTCTCAGTAGCTTGCCAGGCTCTCTGAGAGGGGCAGAGGAGTCGAACCCGGCTCCGCTGGGCTGGCTGTTACCAAGGCAAACGCCCTGAGCTGGAGCGATAGCACAGCGGGTAGGGCATTTGCCTTGCATGCAGCCAACATGTAGCAAAGCCTGGAAAGCTACCCGTGAGGTATTCGATACGCCAAACACAGTAACAACAAAGTCTCAAAAAATGGAGATGTTATTGGGTCCGCTCGAGAAAATCGATGAACAATGGGAGGACAGTGACAGTGATTAATTATTTATCAGGGAGTGAACCTAGGACATTTGTGAGACATGCACTCGAATGCTGAACCACTTCATATCCCCAGCCCATTTTTGACACATTTCAAACATAACCTTATCTTGTTGCACTGTTCATTCTTTAGTTGGAGACTATAGACAACCTTCTTGAAGTAGCTTGTAAAAGAATAATAAGGGTTACTGTAATATTAAGGGTGATCTCATAGAGACCAAAGAGGAAATTTAGTAAGTAGGAGGAAGAAGCGTGATTAGAAAAATGCCAAAACCAAGACCTCTACTCTCTCAATCTCTCTCTTCTTTTCCTCAACATCCTGTTGTACTCTTCTTTATATCTATTTCATTCTTGCAGCCTCTCCGTAGACCAGCTTTCTTTTCTGTGAAATGAGTTAAGTTGACTTGGTTTCGTTCAGCCAGTCAATGGGAAGGATTGGTGTCTCCACCTACCAATTGCAAATTCACAAAAGAAAGATTGCAATTGGCCCAGTTCCCATCAGTCATCTACCAGTTCTATTTTCCATCCTCCTCACTAGGACCTTGTAGAATGAGAAGATGGGGGTAGGAGGGTAATGCCATACAAATTTGACTGCCAGATCCATTTAACGTGAGTGGCAGCAGCTCTTGGAGAAAGTTACTTACTTCAGCAGTTACCCTGAAGGATGGCTTTTAAAGGAATATTTATATAAGGTTCTTCGAGCCTTCCTAGAATAGGAAAGAGAGAAAACTAAAAGGAAATAGAAAAGAGGAAAGTAAGAAATAGGAACGTAAACTATTTTACTTCCAAAAATAGTAAAGAGAGTAAAAATGGATGGAGATACTCAGCTTGAATTTTATCTCCATCATCTGAGACCTTGTCCTTAGAATCCTTATATCATACAGAGAGCATAAGAAAACTTCACACAGAAAGCAAATGGGGGGGGGGGGGGCTGGAGCAATAGCACAGGGCGTTTGCCTTGTACGCAGCCGACCCGGGTTCAATTCCCAGCATCCCATATGGTCCCCTGAGCACCGCCATGGGTAATTTCTGAGCGCAGAGCGAGGAGTAATCCCTGTGCATTGCCGGGTGTGACCCAAAAAATAAAAAAAAAAAGAAAGCAAATTGGACCAGTAAAAGTTGAAGAGACAGGAAACAGAACACATTTCTTCATAGAGGCAGGTGGGGCGCGTGAATGAGGGAAACTGGGCACATTGGTGGTGGGAAATGTACACTGGTGAAGGGACAGGTGTTAGAACTTTATATGACTAAAACCCAATCATAAAACAACTTTGTACCTGTGTATATCACCGAGATTCAATTTTAAAAAACACTCTTCAAACATATAGGCCCCACAGAAGTCCTAAGTGAAGCTATTACCGAATTTGCCTAGATAGCACACCTCTTTACAAATCCATGTCAGACAGGATTTTTGAAAACCTCAGTCATTTCCTTTCATGGCTCTTGGCCTCATCAGAAGTGCCTTAGAAAAATGCTACATTTTTCTGGTGAAGAGTAATAATTTCATGTTAACAGACATTACTGTTCACCGGACCTTGTTTCACATATCTGATGGCGCTCAACACTGCTGCACAAATTTTGATGAATTTCAAAGTTGCTGTAGCAGAGTCAGGACTAGATAGGGCCTCATTTGTCAGACTAATGATAAGCAAGGTGATATGACGCTGGTGGCAGATACATCATAAAATAATTTACATTAGGTAACAATGATAAAAACCATGGTCATTTTCTGAATAGTTATTCTGTGCCAGGGCCTGAGCTAAGAAGTTATTCTCCTTAATCCTTGACAAAGCACGTTAGACAATAAGGTAAGTTTGTACTAACTTTATAATGCATATAATGTAAAATATATTTTTCTTCAGCACATTGTACAGGTGTTGATCTCAAATTCCTACATATAACACACATGTGTAACCAACATCAAGATTAAGAAATAGAACATAAATAGTTCCCCAAAGACCCTCTTTGAGGTGCTTTCCAGTGTACTGCACAAAAATCAAAGGTGACCACTGGTGTATTGCCTAACGGTAGAGATTAGTTTGAGCTGTTTTTCTGTGTAATACAAGTAGAATAATAAATAGATACTCATTTGGGTCCAGCTCTTTTTCATTTAAAGCTATATATTAAGTCTCATATATTTTTACATGAATTTGAATCATTTATTATCATTTTTTATTATATTTCATCATATAAATATGTTTTGATTTGTTCACTCAATCTACTGTTGATTGACATTTAGGGCATATCTAAGTTTCTCACAAATAATCAGAGAGCTATTATCACCTAAGACATATTGTTAGGTGTCTACATAAATGTATCCCAATTGGGTATCTAATAGGAGTAAAAATGTTGTGTAATAAGGTTTACATATGTTCAGCTTTATTAAAAACTGACAGTTTACCAAAATAACTGTTCCAATTTACACTTGTACCAGAGTACAGGAGAGAAAACTTCATTCCTCATTCTCACCAGTCTTTATTTGCAACTTTTGATTTTTTTAAAAGTTATTCTAGTGGGTGTACATGGTACATGTAGCTTTACTTGGCATTTCCTTGATGATTAATAAAATATAGCACTTTTTCATAGGGTTGACTTGGGGTCTTAGTTGTGTTTTTTGGGGGGATGGTGACTTGTTTATTTTTTGTCACATGAATATTTTTGGCAGTGTCAATAAAAGCCCATTTGTTGTTTTTTTTATATTCCCCCCTTGTTTTGTAGGAGCACTTTAAAGATTCCTCTTAAATAGAAATATGTATCCCAGTATCCCAGTATTCTTTCCCATTCTATACATTACGTTTTTATTCTCTTCATAGTGTCTTGGAAAATCAAAGGATTTTTAAGTTTAGCAGTTTTTCTTTTCAAAATGTATGCCTCCTCAAGGGTTATAAAGTTAGCATTCTTTCCTTCCCTCTACAACTTTTTTATTTCATCTTTTACAGCTAGAGCTGATACCATATGTACTTGGTTTTATGTTTAGTGTGAAAGAGAAAAAATGCTATTTTTTCTATGCAATCAAACTGAGCAATAGTTACTGAACAAACACCCATTTCCACGCACTGTCTTCATTAGGCAATTATGTATGTGAGTCTGTCTCTGAGCTTTGTTTTGCACAATTGATGGACTTTTCATTCTTGATAATTCCACAGTCTATGTTATAATAAATAAATAATGAATCTTGTTATCTGGCAAGATTAGTTATCTAATGTTATTCTTTCTCTTTGAGACTGCCTAGTTTACTCCAGGCATTTGGAATTTCCATTTTAATCTGGAATCAATTTATCAACTTTTGCCCCAAAAGATACCAAGGACTTTACTGAGTTTATAACTCTTGATTAATTTGGGTAGAATTGTGTTTTGTAGCATTTCATTTTTCCATCTATCAATATGATTTATACCTTCATTCACCAAGGTCTTTTTTAATTTTTTTCAATATTTTTGGGCTATATTTCATTATACTTAATCCTAAGAATTTGGTGCTTATTAGTGCTCTTATGAGTGAAATATTCTATTTTAGTTTTTTGCTTCTCACATTGACATAAATACAATCTAATTTTACTGTATTGATCTTCTATCTGGAAACTTTGCTAAACATGCTAATTCTAACCATTTGTGATTCATTTTCTAAGACTGTTGTAACAAATTACCACAGACTTGGTGATTTAAAACAAATTTATTCTGTCCTAGTTCTAAAGGCCAAAAGTTCAAAGGCTGTTTTATCTCTAAAATCAAGTTGTTAGCAGGGTTTCAATCTCTCCAGAGAATGGTACTCTGCTCTATCTGTGCCTGTTCTAACTTTTAGTGACTCTAATGTCCCCTGTGTTCCCATCACCACAGTCCTTGCTGCTCTCCATCTTGCCTTATCTTCTTTATGTATGTGTGGAACTCTCTCACCCACCATTCGTATGTGAAATGTTTCTGATGATGCTCAGGGCCCACCAAAATAATCCAGTACAATCTCCTCATGGCAAGATCCTCAACTTCATCATATTGCATTTTCAAATACTATATTTCTGAATAAGGTAACATTTTCAGATTCCAGAGATTCAAATCTCATTTCATAGGGAAGAGGGGGCAGGAGAGGGGGAAGAGTTTTTAGTTTGCAACAGTTTATGGATTCTTTTGGATGTTCTAGGAATGTAATCATTACATCTATAAAAAAAAAGACCATTTATTTCCTCCAGCATAGCTTATTTTTTATTATCTCCCCTGTATATATGAGAAAATTGTGATTTGAGGAAATTAAGGTGATTTGTACTATATTCTAGCATAGAGCTAAGATTTTAACCCAAGACTGGCTGATTTCAATATCTCAGTCCCTAATCACTTAGTTGCCCTTCCTAATAGAGGAACTGCTTATCCCTAAGGCTGATATAATAGTTATAACAGTTTTTATAAGAATTAAATTAGAAATATGTATTTCAAACATAGTGAATAATGTGAATAAAATAATTAACAAATTATTGTAATTGCTGGGAATGTTCTGTTAATTTTTTTTAATAATTGAGAGCATGAACACATTCCCCCACTAATACAAATTACACAGTTGGGTTTCCCACATTTGGAGAAATTGCAGGGGTCAGCACATCCAGAATGCAATGGATAAGTCTCATCCTGGGAAAATCACTTTCATGATCATGGTATTTTGAAGGTAAGTATAAATTACTTTTTTTTTTTTTGCTTTTTGGGTCACACCTGGTGATGCTCAGGTGTTACTCCCAGCTCTGCTCTCAGGAATTACTCCTAGAAATGCTTAGGGGACCATATGGGATGCTGGGAATCAAACCCGGGTAAGCCACATGCAAGGCAAACGCCCTACCACTGTAGCCCCCAAATTACTTCATTTTTAATTCATATAAAACACATTTAGTCGGACCAGAAAGAGAGAGAGTAAATCAGGTAGAGTGTTTATCTTGCATGCAACTAACCCTGGTTGAGCCCCCGTCCCCTTAGAAAGTCCCCTAAGCCCACCAGCAGTGGTCCTTGAGCTCAGAGCCAGGACTAAGCCCTGAACACTGCCGGGTGTGACCCTAAAACAAATGAACAAACCAGAAAGCATATTTAATGACAGAATAAAAGACAAATACATCTATATCTATGACAAGGACCAAACAAATCATCACCACATGAGCAAGTAAATGGAATGAAATGGAAAAACATAAAAACAGAGAAAAAAGTAAGTAGCTTTAAATAAGAATGGGGGAGGGGCAGTGAGTGCCGAGAATAGATGACTGGTTAAAGAAACTTTGGTACATCTATACAATGGAATACTAGGCAGCTGTTAGGAAAGATGAAGTCATGAAATTTGCTTATAAGTGGGTAGTCATGGAGAATATCATGCTAAATGAAATAAGTCAGAAAGAGAAAGACTGACATAAAATGACTGCACTCATTTGTGGAATATAAAATATCATAATATGAGACTAATACCCAAGGACAGTAGAGATAGGGCCAGGAAGATTGCTCTATGTTTGGAAGCCTGCCTTATGAGCAGGGGGAAAAGACAGATGGGATAGAGAAGGGATCTCTAAGTCAATGATGGTTTGAGGGATTGTTGGGGATGGGAGATGTGTGCTGAAAATAGATAAAGGACCAAACATGATGACCTCTCGGTATCTGTATTGTAAACCATAATGCTCCAAAGTAGAGAGAGAATAAGAAGAAAATTGTCTGCCATAGAGGCAGGGGCAGGGTGGGATGGAGTGGGGGGGAGGGACACTAGAAATATTGGTGGTGGAAAATGTGCACTGGTGGAGGGATGGGTGTTCGATCATTGGATGACTGAAACTCAAACATGAAAGCTTTGTAAGTGTAGGTCATGGTGATTCAATAGAAAGAAAGAAAGAAAGAAAGAAAGAAAGAAAGAAAGAAAGAAAGAAAGAGGAAGGAGGGAGGGAGGGAGGGAGGGAGGGAGGGAGGGAGGAAGGAAGTGAAGGAAGGAAGGAAGGAAGGAAGGAAGGAAGGAAGGAAGGAAGGAAGGAAGGAAGGAACGAAGGAAGGAAGGAAGGGAAGGAGGGAGGGAGGGAGGGAGGGAGGGAGGGAGGAAGGAAGGGAGAGAGGAAGGAAGGAAGGAAGGAAGGAAGGAAGGAAGGAAGGGAGGGAAAGAAAGAAAGAAAGAAAGAAAGAAAGAAAGAAAGAAAGAAAGAAAGAAAGAAAAGAATGAAAGAAAAGAATGAGAGGTCAAGAGAGCTTCACAGTGGAGACAATGGTTTGAACTAAACCTTGAAGGTTGAGGCCAAGAAAACAGAAGCACATTTCCGGCAAAAAGACCAGTGTAAAGAAACATAGAAAACGAAAAGTGACTCTCACAGTGGCTCTCCCATGGCACACAGGCCTTCCCTGTTATAAAAAAACCAATGAGTTGAAGAATGGGAGTCCAGAAACACTAAGTATACTAGGAAAATTGTCCATCAATAGGTTCTCATGGATTAGGAGGTGTCACTATCATTCCTATTTCAATGTAGCTGCATATACCCACAAGCCAGTTGGGTCTTCCTTGTGGTTCTTAGTCTATGAGTCCACAGGAGCAAGCATGTCTGAGCCACCAGGTCATTGGTGCCTGGGCAGAATTATCCATCCTGATGATGGCCAAGGTGAGTCAAACCCTAAGATGGTGAAAAGAAGCCCTTCTACAGCTTCTTTCTTTCTTTCTTTCTTTCTTTCTTTCTTTCTTCCTTCCTTCCTTCTTTCTTTCTTTCTTTCTTTCTTTCTTTCTTTCTTTCTTTCTTTCTTTCTTTCTTTCTTCCCACCACAGCCTCTGGGGAAATGATACTGTCAGAGCCAGCACCCATGAATTTCCAGGACATATATCAGCATCCCAGACCATGCTGGGAATCTCAGGTTATAATCAAGATATAATTAGGATATATCCTGGGCAGTAAAACTCAAATAGGACCTGTGCTTCGGGTTTGATGCTCTGTGGTTGCCACTCTGAAACGAATGAAAACGTTATCCTTTTGAATTTGTTTTCTAAGTAAAGTCTGAGGCTAGGACTTTGAGTCATTTAATAATCTTGTCTCCTGTCACCACTTTCCCTCCAAAAGTTTGGGAAAGCTTAGGACCCTCTCTCTTCCCAAGTCCTTCACTTTCCTTCACCCCAGGCAGGGTATACGAAGTATTTGACTCCTGTGTAGAATCTACAGCACCTTGGCATGGTGTTTGGCAGCATCATGGCAGTTCTGGTGAGTTGCCAGTCAGAGACCAAGTTTCCAGGGGATGCAAACTTTCATCTACCCCCACCCAGATTGCAGCATGCTCCAGGATAAACTCTGAACAATCTATAGGACACCCATCTGCAGTGTTTTGGAATGGTGAATTCAGGAGGAGATGCCTAGATGGAATGGGGGCTGGAGGGGTGGAGGGGGGTGAAAACCTCAGGCTAGAAGAGCATCTACATTTTCCTGCAAGTATTCCAAGCCCAGGTGGACCCCTCAGCCAGTTCCATGCCTGGGCGCATCCCCTCTTCCTCTATGTTTTTACCTTCCTTGGGTTAATCTCCCTGGGCCAGCTCAGGGCAGCCTCTGGGGAGAAGCTGAAAAATAGGATTTGCAGAATTTCTGTAACTCCGCCTGGAAGCTAAATGCTCTTAATTTTGCATTTATATTTGTATTGTGCAATATGAAGAGAAATATTAAAATTAGTAAAAATTCATGTCAATAATTGAAGATTTCACTTTTCACAGAATGGCACTAGTTAGCAAATGAAAATCAAGTGAGAGACTGCAGAAGAAAGAGAGAAAGCTTTCTCTGTCACAGTACTTTCCCTGGCTTTTCTTTATGTATGTGAAGCTCCACAATTTCACTTCACACTGAGCCTCACAAATTATGTAGCCAGTCCTCGTTACAACTTGCTCCTTGACTAAGCCAGCATTTGTGCAAGCCTGGCAGCTGACCCTGAAACCAATGTCGAGAACCCAGTCCCACAATGATGTTACTTTCTGAGTGGCCCATGGTGACTCACAGCTCAAGACGGTATATTTCTCACTTGTCGGAATGCAAAGTAAAAGTAGCTATTTTTATAGAACAAAAGCCCAGGGAAAATATGGTATTCGGCCCATCTCTATGCACCACTGCACCTGAGACACTCAGCACACATAATAAATCTGTCTTTGGAAACTTGCTCCTTTGCAGTTTTGACACAGATAAATGACAAGTATTAAATCTTAAGGGAAAAGAACCAGCTGCTGTAGTTGTTGAATTACTGAGACATAAGCCTCCAAGCCTGCTGATTTTAAGTACCAACAGAGGCCTCCTGGAAAAGGGTAAAGGTGAGTGGGGCAGAAGTCAGAGGTGACCTCAGAATGTGTCTTCAACAATCCAACGAAACTCAAGATAGACTTAATTATCACTGGGTTTGAACGTTGGAATAAACCAGACTTTGACTGATAAGAATCTCGTTGGGATAAATATCACCATATCCAGGGGTTCAGAATTTAGATCTTAATCTAGCTGATTTGTGTCTGTGCAGGGGTGCTGGGGGTGGGGGGGGTTGCAGTTGGGCATTACCTGGCAGTAGGCTTTTGGCTCTTGGTCAGGACTCACTTAAGGCGATGTTCAAAGCAACATATGCAGTGCCAAGGATAAAACTGTGCAAGGTAAGTACCTCATCCTTGTACTAGCTTTTAGACCCTAATGCATTTTTCTTTAATCAGAGCAGGTACCTAATAGAGAAACAATGAACAGCTACAGACATAAGTATTTATCCCCTCTTCAGCATCAAAGGTGAAAGGCTGCATAATTTTTAGGTGAGAGTGAAACATTGCCTGTAGATGATCATTGCTAAACAGAATGGAGCTCCTTTGGGCTGGAGAGCTAATACAGCAGGTATGGTATTTGCTTTGCATGCCCCTGATCAGGGTTGAATTCCCAGCACCCTGTACGGTCCCCAAGTATACCCAAGAGTGGTCCCTGAACACAGGTATAGCCTAATACCCCTTCATCCCCAAAAGAAATGAAGCTGTTTTGAGGCTGGAGTTTTGATCATACACCCCTGGGGTCCCATACCTTGCCCAGTTGGAGTATGCACTTGGGATACTTCTTACTTCAGTTCAATTTTTCTATTCCCATTGGGTATGGAATACCATGCCCCAAAATGCCCTGGTAGTATCCTCCAAGACATATTCCCTAAAGCAAAAAAGTCTTCTGTTCCTCAAGGGAGCTGTTTCTACTGTATCCCAGGTGGGGCAACAAGTTGGGGTCATTTCTAGGGTTATAGATGCTCCCTAGGTACAGCAGGGAAGGTCAACTGCTTCCCCAAATGCTGGGCTTGAGATCTTCTAGTCAGGGGTCAAACGAAGACACCCAGTACTTCCTTCAGTCAGGGGATCCGCTGTAGGTTCACCGGAAATCCGAAGTGAAAGTGCTTGAGTCCCCATAGATGCCACTAACCTAGGAGGGCGAGTCCAGTGCCCTCCCAGCTCTACAAGGACAAACTCCTTCTGGGGCATCGTCATCAATGCAAAGTGAACCCTACGGTCCTTCAGGCTGGCACTTTCCCATTGGACACTGATGGGATGGGGGTATCCCAAGGAGGCAGGCGCCCAACTGAGGAACTCTGGCCAGTAGGGAGGAGGCGTCAAATCTTCTCCCTGAGAGCCCTAGTCTTCCTCCTAACCTTAGCTCTGCTGTTTGGCCCAGCGGGAGGAAAGGAGGAAAGCTGTC